GATTTTTTCGGTCGCGCACGAGTCACCTCGCTGTGTTTGGAGATTTGTGCTTGTCCTTTGTCCCTGTTGTTCCCCATCCCCAGGGAATATTTTCGTCAATCTTGTCCAGCTCGCTTGCACCTTTACATTTAATTGCATTATAATAATAACCTTAAAATGCAAGCTTCACCCTACTTGGTGTTAGACTGGTGGCAGCTGATAAAACCATTTTGCTCCTCTGGCGTCTAACCTCTGGTTAGCTCAGTTTGTAGAGCGCTCCACTTGTAATGGAGAGGTCCCGAGTTCGATACAAGGACCAGACGGATTTTTTCGGTCGCGCGCCAGTCACCTAGCTGTGCTTGGAGATTTGTGTTTGTCCTTTGTCCCCCTTGTTCCCCTTCTCCAGGGATTATTTTCGTCGTACAGGGAATATATCATGAAGGGTTTTAATTGATTGGCCGGTCCCTCAGTAGAACGATCTCACAAAGCGTTTCACGCATGCGTGACGCCGCCATGAGTCTAGTTCACAAGAGGTAGGCGCCCGTGCACGAAACAGCACGTGCGAAACAGACACCCAGCGTAGTTGTCCCATGTGCAGAAGACTGCGGTAGTTCCCACGATGCATGGCGACAGCGGTGGCTTACTCAAACTAGCTGATGATATCTGTTTACTGACTAAATGTTTAACGCTAGAGCCGGGGTAAAGGCCGGTTCTGACACTTGCGTTTGAGTGTGTTTGACTGCGTTGCGGCGATTACCGAAAGCGAGTCACCGGCACATCTGTGCTTCGTATGAAGCGTGGAATCCAAGTCAATGAATGATCTTGGCACGCGATATAAGCAGCAGGGATGTCCTGGTTTCTCGCAGCCGCAACGGAGTCAAACGCAGTCAAACGCAACTGTCTGACCCAGGCTTTACACAGCTTATACATTTTACGAAAAAAAAAATCCACAAATAGATTCGAAGGTGAGTCACCGTGAGATCTTCGCTACGCATGCTGCATCCCAATGAGTTCAGAAAGAAACTTCGGCGCGCGGCATTCGAACCTCAAATATTGCGGTGACTTGTGTTTGCAGACTGTCTTTTGTATGATATATGCGCAGTGTAACCCCGCTTTACAGCCACGTCCCACTCCCAAGAAATCTTGGCTTGCGTGGGAATTAACCTGTAAAATGTAAAAACAAAAGATAAATAAATTGTCCTTTATTTTATTGTCAGAGGGTGGGCAGGGCAGAGGTAATGTAACTGCAACTCTGGGAAAGTGGGGCCAAGCTCCCCGCATGGTCGCCGTTTCGGTTTATGAAATGAGCAGTATTTCCTTCACCTCTTCATTCGTGCTGAGCCGATCCCAAGTCCCGGTGACCGGTTCCTTTATAAATGCATTTCATGAGTAGCGTGATTCTGTTATCCACACAGCGGCGAAACAGGCACACATATTCGCACCGCCACCACATGCGTCGTCGGAGCTTGGCGGCATCAAATATAATCTTCCTATCTTAAAACCCGCAACGACAACAAACCATTGTAAGAGAGATGTTGAGATAAGCACAAGTGATAGGTTGATTATATTCACAGTGCCAAATATCCTTACATTGTCTCGGTACAATGAAGCTTCATAGCAATATTGGCGCCACTTGTTCAGATCACCCTTTCGGAGCTTCGAAGATCCGAATGAACCAAAATTGCGATTGCATGGCAATGGTTCCCTTCTAGTCGCAAGACTCGCAACGCCTTGCGAGCGTAGCCAGTGTACCCCGCCTTGGGATCTGAATGAACCCAAATTGCGATTGCATGGCAATGGTTGCCTTCTAGTCGCAACACTCGCAACGCCTTGCGAGCGTAGCAAGTGTATCTTTGTGCCCCGCGTCTACCATCGTCGCGCGTGGGGGGCTGCCATCCCAGCGGTCCGTCAAGATAGCTCCTACAGTGTCGATGGCCCAGTCCTCCCTGTTCTCGACACCGTCCAAGGTTCCAGTCGACCAGATGATCTGCACACTGCATTTCCTTTTTGGAAAGGGCGTACAAACGCACCTTCAGCACCAGGGAGGAAGCAAGTTCCTCGCCGCAGTTCGCTCCACCGAGGCGGCCGAGAAATTGGCAGCGCAGGGTAACCCTCTGCTTGGTAACGGCCTGGTCCAACAGGAACAGGTGGGGCCACGTACCGTTTTGCTTGTGGGTTTTCCGACTCCAGCAATTCGTCCCGGATGACGCCCTTCAAGCAGTTCTCGGGGCGTACGGCAGGACCCTCGGGGTGTCTAAACCGTCGTTCAAGGTCCGTCAAACCTTCTTTACCGGCACTAGGGTTGTCCGCATTAAAACAATGACAGCGGTGCCCGACTTCGTCACTGGGCACTGCGTCATGCGCGAGTACCGGGGCATCCGGTGAATTTGTGCACGCTGTGTGTCAAGAGGGCACATTCCGAGCGGCGTGCCACACGCCGCGATGAAACCTCTGCGGAAAGTTTTGGCAACACACCCGAAAACTGCACCGCTCCGTGCAAGCGTTGCGGCCACAACTACGCCGGGAGAGACCGCACGCAGCGCAGAAGCTGCTCGGCGCTAGCTCTAGACGTCGGTCCTTTCGAACCAATGGCCCATGTGTCAGCGGCGTGCACACCGGCCCCCTCCGGAGCAGCGAGTGACGCCCCTGCGTAGACCAAGACAGCCCGGCCCGAGGCGTCAGAGGCACCCCAGGCCCACCTTGGTGCCCAAGTGGACACCGCCGACGACGCCTCGGACAGCGGGTTGTTAGTCATCGACAAACCTGCGCAAAGGGAGTCGCCGGCGAGTTTAGAGTCGACAGCCAGCGCGTCGACCCCGTTGGTAAGTGTGGTGGGCGTGAGCAACACCACCTAGATCTAAAGCCGCAGCGCTTCCCTCTCTCCCTTCAAGGAGCGTCGGCGTGAGTAGGCTGAACTGGTAGTGCGCGTCTCCGCAAAGCTACCCTTGACAGTTGGCTTCTTTGCAATGCAGGTTCTCTTTTACTTTCTCTTTTCCTCTACGCTTGAACGCTTGACGTGGCGCAAACAAAAAACAAAAAAGACGCCACAGCGTCGCGTTTTTTTTTTTTCTTTTTTCTTTTTCTCCCCAACGGTCGTCCGTCGCGTTCCTTTCTTCGACGGCTTTTTTAGCTACTCCTGCGAGTTGGGTCACGTGACAATAAGGCTGGAGGAATCAACTAGAGCAACTCTAAAAGCGAGTAGGTTTTTGGACGCCGAGGGTCGGAAGTTCAACTCTCGAGTAAGATCGAGCACATTTTGGAATACAACACAACTGCGGCCTGTTGTGTGCACGTTATGGTGAACGCGAACGTTGCTTTTCGATTGTCGTAGCTGTCATTCCGTACAGATGTTGTTTATCCGCGCGCTATGACGAAAAGCTGGATGTAAAAGTGTCCATATTTGAGTTTCTGCAACGGTGACTACGAAAGCGTGGACTACACAGCGAATCGATGGCAAGATCTCGCTCCTTGGCGGCATGGCAGGGTGAGAACTTTTTGATTTTTATGATCGTGGTTTCGTTTCTTGTTTTTACTTTTCGCTGAATGCATGCTTGGGAGTGATTTGGTTGCGGCCTGGAAGCAACATATTCAAATGCTGGCGCTACTTGTAGGTTCAGAACTAAATAGAAATGACTCGATTTATGAGTTCAGGTTGGAATGCTTTCGCAAGGTATGCAAGTGATAGGTTATCGCGGTTGCAACCAACACATCAATAAAAAAAAAACAAAAAAACAGAAACACATTGTGTCGTTTCTACGTATCCTCATCGGAGCGCAGAAATGATCCGCTAAAACCAACTAGTACGATCTATATTCCCACTGAACGCAAAGATGGCTACAAGACGGCTAAAAGACGTCTTGGCAAGATGTACAATACGTCTTGTAGACATCCTGGCAAGACGTTATATAGCCCAAGACGTCTTGAAACATCTTGTAGCCGTCTTCTAGTCGGGCTAACGCCCCGTCTTTCTTGGGCTACAAGACGTCTTGCAAGATGTCTTGAAGAACTCTTGAAGACGACTACAGGACCTCTAGATAGGTCTATTTAACATCTTAAAAAGGGATATAAGATGTCTTTTAGCCATCTTTTTCTTAGCTCATGCACCATTATTTTGGCTTACAAAACAAAATGTCTTAAAATTTGTCTTGGCAAGGTCTACGAGACGTTTTGTAGACATCCTGGCAAGACGTTATATAGCCCAAGACGTCTTGAAACGTCTTGTAGCCGTCTTCTAGTAGGGATAATGCCCAGTCTTTCTTGGGCTACAAGTACGTCTTGCAAGATGTCTTGAAGAACTCTTGAAGACGACTACAGCACCTCTAGATAGGTCTATTTAACATCTTAAAAAGGCATATAAGATGTGTTTTAGCCATCCTTTTCCCAGCTCATGCACCATCATTCTGGCCTACACAAAAAAATGTCTTAAAATTTGTCTTGGCAAGGTCTACAAGACGTTTTGTGGACATCTTGGCAAGATATTAATAGCCCGGACGTCTTGAAACGTCCTGTAGCCGTCTTCTAGCCGGCATAACACCCAGTCCTTGGGCTGCAAGATGTCTTGCAAGATCTACCATAGACGACTTGAAAACTATTACAGGACACCCAGTTACGGCCTGGATATTTTAATCCCAAAAAGCCATAAGGCTTTGAATAGCTAAACTCCTTATATAGTGGTAAGGACGAGTACTGAAGCCGATTCGTACTGCAGCGACTAACTATGTGAGGGGGCTAACGTCAAGATACAACCATGATTTACCATGGCAATCAAGAATTGCAACACTAATTAGTTGCCTTAGCGGCTTTCAGTCACTTGAGTCAAGTCTTTGCAATATAGTCAAGCGCTGTTGCAAAAATAGGCCTTTGCACCAAGCTGGTGTGAATAAGATGACATGGTTAACATAGCAAAGCATAGCTATTGCATGTCTGTAAGTACACCACATATTGAACGCCTGTCAATCGCAAGCTCTCAAGTGACACAGCCATAGCTGCGCACCAGTAAGCAAATAATTTTTCTCCTGTTCAAGAACTGTAAAAACATGTTTATTAGTAAAATAGGTACGTAAATATAATTGAAGCTTTCAATGCACTGCTTATTAGTTTTAAAACAATAAGAAATGAAATAATGGCTTGCAATCCAGATGACTTGAGGAAGTTTCCGGCTGACTCATGGAAGTTTCTTAACTCTCAGACTCGTGGAAGCTTCCTGCAATGAAACGAAAAGTAAATTTTTATGAGTTTAATATTCCCTATTGTTCCCAGTTTCATAAAGGTATCAAGTGTCTAAGCATGCATTATATAATGTACCCATAATGTGCCCATTGTAAATACCCCATGTTTTGCAGCCTATCAGGAATTTTCAAGATTTTTCGGATATAAAGCTACCTACAGAAACAAATTTTGTATGACACTGCTAGAAGTTTCCTGCGAAATTTCAAAGCAGCCCAAAAATGACTGAAGTTTGCTATAGAAGAGAAGTCCAGAAAACCACTTTTTAAGATTTGAGAATGATTCTGCTAGCCAAAGTACACCATGCCAAAGTACACCACAAGACCAACATGAACTACTTTGTTTTTTGCAAAACAAGGTAAAAAAACAAGGAGCAATCTACAAAGCAATTATTTGCAATAGTATGCCAACAAAGTGACTCGATGATGTCTAAATGCAAATGCCGACCAATTTTCCGGACTCGAAGGCAACCCGAAAAAGCAGTCTAAAAAGCTATTTTAAAGGCCGACGACCAGACTCGAGATTCTGCAAGGCAGAAGACCCTCCTCTCCACGCCTTCGGGCGAGGGAAGCGAAGGATGGAAAGAAGGGACCAAAAGGGGCGGGCGTGGGTGGAAAGGGTAGGAGGGAGAGGAGGAAGCGGGCGAAAAGTGGAAAGCGCGAACTGGTCGTCGGTCTTTAACTTAAATGAAAAAAATTCCATGCAACCTCTGCATGGTATTGCCCACTTTCCACTTGTTTGATGCCAATATTAAGTTCTCATGCAACTTCCACTTCATACTGGTCGCTTTCCACATGTTTGGATGATCGCAGTGCCAAGCGTTGCTGAGGCCATTGCTGCCGCATACAGTAAAGATAAAGCTGGTATGATTTGGAGGCCACATTCAGCTGACCAAGCTCGCTTTACTGCTGCGCCTATCTGCCAAATATACTCGCTCGAAGAACACGGGAATAATGGTGGACAGTAGTTCTTCTCCTGGTCGCGGTAGGGAAATGCAAACACGAGAAGATACAGAAGTATGGCCCCCAGATGGCGGCTATGTTGGATATAGTGGAACTGGAATATCTGACCGTGGCCCAATCCAGCTTTTTCATGCGTAAGACGGGGATTCGAGGCTACGAGACCAAACAACCAAAATGCTTGCAATGAAGCATACGGCGACTGCTTGTAAGTATAAATGGGAAAAAAAACTTCCGAAAATTTGAGCAACGAGGTGTACGGTATCCGAAATTTCAGTCAGTGCTATACATTCAGTTTCATAGTCATAATTATACAAGGCTTGTATTATTAAGTGACTTTTAAGTATGTTTTCAATTTGCCACTTCTCAGTCAGCAGGAAAAGGGAAAATGTTTAGATGAAATAATGCTTAAGTACCATACCTTTTTGTGGCGCTATTTACGCATGCTCGGCAGTTCTTCAGCCAACCCTTGGCTCCTGCTTCAATTTCTTCAAGCGTTGCACCACTCAGGCCTTTTATCAGTCTGACTGCTTCTGTAAATGGGGAAAATATGAAAATCATAACCAAGTCCGTTACCCTGGTGCGATGATCACGGGAGATATGAAAGCCTACCACCACTACAAATAGACATGGGTGAATATATGAGTGTTCTGACCAGATTAAATGATATGTCACCCCTTTGTTAATGACTACCGACATAGGCTGTGCCGATTCATTTTGCCCGGCCTGCCCCATGCACACTGCATGACACTGCTAGTGCGAACACGAAATTAGCACTTTTTCATTGCATTTTGCTCATACAGAATATTGATGCGCCCCAAATAGTACTTTAAGCTGGAGCTCAAAATTAGCACTTTCCCCCACACTAGCAATTCTGATGGCACGTATCAGTTACATAATTGAAACAAAGAAAAAGACAGCCCATTGCTTGTCTGTGCTAACTGTGACGTGCAGTGCACAACATCAGAATTTGCTTGAATGTGCCTACCGAATTACTTGTTTCAAATTCCCTGACCGGTGTTTCTCTCGAAGGAGTGCTTATACGACCGAAGAACTCTGACCTGCTATTGGTACTATGCTCACCATAGTTGCTAAATTATGAAGCCCAAGTGGCTCACCCCTTTTAATGGATGGTTGCTTGATCTGCCTAGTGACATTTCTGGCAACATTACTCAGTGCAGACACGCTGCTGCACGACAGTTGGGTTTCGTTGCACACCGCCATACCACTTCCATGTGCCATTTTCCCTGATTTAGCTCTTTAATAAAATTTCCTTGACTTTTCCATATGGTTCAAAATTCCCTGACAATCCCAGGTTTTCCAGATTAGTTGACACCCTGTATAATACATGAAGACGATTTACAATTTAATACGATTTATTAAAATTCCTTGCCATGTTGCTGTTGGCATGTTTTACAGTGAGGGTTATTTTAATTATTTGGAGCGGCACATTTCCAGAAATAATAATAATAATAATAATACTTTATTTTGTGCTAGTGTCCAAAAACAGCTGCAAAGACCTTGTTATTGGTACACTATAAACAAAAAATTAGCTTCACACTAAAAAAACAAACAAACAGAAAACACAGCAACATGAACAAAAGTAATCGTCACCTTAAAAACGCAGCTAAGTGAGCAAACAAAATACAGGAACATCAGAGGTCTGTAGAATGAGTATATGGCATGCTAAAAGCGAAACAAAGCCCAGCACTAAAAAACAAAGTATATATAGAGGTTACAATCTTTTTAGCGTTGATAAGGAATTATGTATGTGCATATATGTTCAGATCCACATCATGAAGTTTATTATACAAGTGCGTAATTCTAGACATGGCTGAGGAATCATATGGGGTATTAGGGTAAAATGGTAAAATCACTGTACTACTTCGCGTCGGTACGTGAAAGTTCACGGATGATAAGAGTGATTGCTATCAGTCCGGCCAGAAGTTACTTTATGTAAAAACGCACATCACGAATGGTACGATTTAAGCCGAAATAGTTCACAAGTGATTCATAATTATATTAACAATGTTTAAAGTATCTGTCATAAGCTGTTCGCGCCAGGCGCTTCTGAACTCGCTCAATTTCGTTGCTCTGACTAGAAGACATTCAAGTCATTAACGAACCAAGGAACAAAATAAATGGATCAAACATGTAAAGTAGAGTGCATTCCGCAGGCGGCGACAGTCGCACAAACAAAAACAGGCGCGGTAACAACAAGGAACTGCAAAGCAGATGACATCGGTACTCCGAAAAAAACCGTCAAAATATCCCAACAAACCACTTTTCTAATCGATTATGTGTCCATTCAATATGTTTTATCAGTAAGGATAATAAAATAATGCATTGGCAACTGATATCAAAAAGCTCGTGCCACTTTTGAGTCGAAAAGATTGTCTGCTAAAGACGCCAGCTTTCGGCGCCGTATGCTCGTACGTTGGCGCAGTTGGCGTCATGACCCCTTGTGCCATCTTTTGTCTCTCTAGTGAAACGGCGGCATATTGTTTGAAGACCTTTGGCTTCGTCGCATTTCCATAGGAGCTAAGCCTTTTTCTTTCTTTACTTTTTCCTCAAGTAAGCTTGCTCTTTGCAATTTTACAAAAAAAATGCACCATCCCTGAGCAACGCTGCACAAAGTCGTAGTGCGATAGGTTAAGAAGCCGAATTTTGCAGTCGATTTAAAGAGCCTGGCCGCTCCTTGATACACCCAATATACAACAGCCCAATTCATCCTACTGGTCAAAGTGTTGGCTTACGTCCAAAAACATGGAACGTTGGCAGGTACCTATAGTCGGTGACAGGTCAAGAATGAAGTGAAAGCTCCTCTTACCTCTTTCCCCTTTAGCAGAGCAAACGCTGGAAAGGAGGGTGCCTCCTCTCCAGGGTTCAGTCTGCTAGAGTGGAAAAAGGTGGGAGCAGCTTCCACTTCCTTATTGACCTGTCACCGACTATAGAATCTGAGCAACCAATGTGGCTTTTATCTTATTCTGGGCTCGCTTTTGTTTTTGAATGTGTTTACCTGCGTGCCTGCATTTATTTTTTTTTGTACATATGCACGGGCGTATTTCTACCTTCACGATTGACTACATACCTCCCCTCCCCTCCCCTGCAATAATGCCTTCGGGCAGTGCAGGGTAACCCGAAAGTAAAGAGATGTGAATGTGCCTGCCATGCTCGGCAATCCCAATTCAACTCCCGCAACTGCAATCCTCTTACAAAAAAGATGCACTCTAGCAACTGCGTGGTTGACATGCCAAAACCCAAACCCAAACCGAGACCAAAAGAACTTCAGAACTATGTGGTGCGCTAACACAAAGCCATTTGCACCTGCCGGCCCCCCCCCCCCCCCTTTAGCTTTCTTTTTATTGCCACAAAAAGTGGTGTACAAGAAAAGATGGGTTGCTCTTTTGTTCTAACTGAGAAGAGTAAATTGAAGGCTCTAGTAACAGCCAATGCTAATCGAACACTTTTCAGAATGCTTCTTTGTAAAAAAAAAAAAAGGTCACGCTTTGTTTTTTTTTGTGTTTGCATAATTAACTAGCTCCGCAAATGCAGCTATTCGTAATTCCGTGCACAGACCAAGCAAGGTACCATGAACACTTACCAACTATCGTACCTACCAAGTGCTCAACCCCCAGTTCTCTATGATTATCTCCAATTTAGAGTGGGCGTTTGTTCGGTATTTTACAGTTTGTAATGTTGTTTGTTTTGAAAATCAAAATGTGAGATAAATCCAGCAGGGCGCTGTGGAAGCAGTGCAAGGGCCCTGTTTCACCTTTTACAAAGCATCCTGTCTCCAATGGCAGTAGAGGAACAGGGGGGGGGGGGGGGGGGGCTGATGCGCCTGCAGGCCCTTGCCGTGTTGATAGCTGCCATCCGGACTGGCAGCTCATCGGCAGCTTCTAGTCACCTGCAGTTTTTTCGTCATCATACAGACTTCCTGCAACATCATGAATAACACTCAGACTGACATTCTGGAACAAAAAAGAAACCAGAACTTGCTTCACGGACCAACAAAAGAACAAGTGCAACATGACGCTTCTCTTGTCGTCGACAGTGCAAAGACCATGACGACACCACCATTAAACTCAACCAAATAAGAAAAATTAACTTCTGCATGAAGTAATTGTATTAAGAACAGTGTGCAAGTGGAGCTTAGATACTTACCGGTGCATTAAAAGATCCCGGGAACTTCAAAACAAATTAAACACCACCTAGAAATAGCACAGCTCGCTTGATAGGCACATGCACAGCAATCAACAAGCCTTTTGACGTGTTCTGTAGTGCTGGGATAGAAATCAAGAATCAACACCGGAGATGTTGTCAAAATACTTTGGGGTAGTACAATGCGCAAGTTTATCCTGAAGCTACTGTTGATTACAGTCACCTAAGGTGTTAAAGCTGGTTCACACTGTTGCAACCGACTATGACCAAGTTGAACAAAACAGGGTTTTAAGTTGCTTACGAATAACATTGCTGCTGCGCAGAACGATCATAAGCTGTCACAAGAGGCTTGAAGACTGGTTTTGTCAGACTCAGTCCTAGCGGGTAGCAACAGTGTGGACCAGCCTTTTAGACTAAAATTGTACCCAGCACTGGGTTTTGGACATGGTTCCAAAAATGCTTTAAGAGACTCCCTTCAACTTTAACAGAACCTCAAGTATTTAAAAGTTGAAGTAGGAAGCCTTCACATTCAAAGCTGGATCTCCTTGATTGGAATGTGTCTCCACTGTACAAGCGAGAGTGCCTGGCAGGTGTGGGAGTTGGCTTGTGGCTGTCCCTATTCGCACACCGAGTGTGGATAGTGGTGGATTCTAATCCGCACTCCGAGTGTGAATAATTTTGGATTCTAATCCGCACTCCGAGTGCGGATTGTGTTGGATTCTTATCCGCACTCAAAGTGTGTGAGTAGACTCTAGTGTGAGTGCGGATTGCGTGCGGAAGCGCGGACGCTGTACGGGGGTAATAGGAGATTAGGGTACGAAGGCGTTGGCACGAAGCCGTTGAGAGTGTTGGATTTTATTTATCTGCACTTCGCGTGTGGTGCGATTTTGTCGCGCTATGAACAGAGTGGTTTAGAAGTTCTCAACGTTGTGTTGTGAACGACACTGGCTTTGAGCCTCGACGAGTTTATAAAAATATTGGTGGTTCTGGTTTCAGAATTATAATAATTTCATGCAAATGTTTTTGCTTCTATTAAAACAAAATTAATTAGCATTGAGTGGTGCACTTCAGATTAAACGGTACTCACGCCACGGGGATCGGACACAGGCGAACAATGTATGTGTATGTGTTTGTCGCAGGGGGAGGGAGGGGTTAGGGAAAAGGGGTGGGTATCTTGTACCCACTCCAAAACTTGGAGAATCCCAAACACATCACCCCCCCCCCCCCCGCCAAAAAAAAAAGGAAAGAAAAGAAGTTTTGGCGATAATTTTTTTTGTAGGGTTAAATATTTTTATTGACGAAAGAAAAAAAAGAAACTAGAGCAGCGTGCAATTTCTAACGTGTATTGTCTTGTGCTTAGGTGATGGGGGCAGTGGCATAGGAAAAGGGGGGGCTGCAGGAAAATCAGTCATTTCCAGTAAACAATATTATTAAAAAAAAGAACCCCCCTTTCCTATGCCACTGCCCCCATGACCTCAGCACAAGACTATACACGTCTTCTGAACATTTTCAACACTACTAGATGAGGGAATGCTTGAAAAGCCATGGGCGTACCAACCGTGGGGGCAAGGAATGTGTTTTGCAGCCCCCCCCCCCCCCCCCCCCCCTTAAACAGCCGTCACTGGGCAGGGCAAACACTGGCCGGCGGCGCCGAAGGGATACCAAGGGCACCGCCCCCCCAGCTCGGGGGGGGGGGGGGGGGGTGTCGTTTGCCCCCTCACTTAAAAACAAGTTGGTACGCCACTGGTCCCCGGCCATTTGTTACTGTAGATTTTTTTTTTTTTTTTAATAGAATGATGTGCACGTTTGTAAGTAGACGATAGATGTCATGGCTGTTTTGGGTGCGGCAGCAGCGGAAGTTTTGAACATCTGTGTGTGTGTGCATGGGGGGGGGGGGGGGGGGGAAGCAATTGCATCTTGAAAATTGTTTGCTTGCCGCCCCCCTCCCCCTTCCTACATTACTGCCCCCACCAGCTAAGCACCACAGAATGTTAATGTGCTGACCATGGCAAAGCTTCCGTTTTCGGAGTGCGAAAAGGGACAGCCGTGCGAGTTTTCATTGCGAGCTGTTCACTATACAAGCGAGAGCACCTGCCAGGTGTGCAATTTTTACACTGCAACTTTCTTGAGCATTTTAATCAAATCGTATAACCTATATCTTGTAAACTCTGATATGGGGAATGCTAAAAAAACGAACAAACATCTTAGGGTTTACAAGATGTTGATTAATTACCAGCTTGCCTGCACTCTATCAGTGCTTACATATAACCTCTTTCCTCAGCCATGTAAAGTACGTGTGCACCCCCGGGTTCTAGAAGTCACGAATATGACCGGGGTAAACTAAAACGCCATTAAGGCAAACAATAATAATCTTCATTAGCTACAGTAGTAGTACTCTGGGTGGCTCGCAAGGCTAGACATATAGGCTCCTTGCACTGACGTCACATCGCGCACTTTTGAACACCAAGTAAAAGGAGGAGAGGGAAGCTGCTTTTGTAAGAAGTTTGAGTGACAGGTTAATCTTCTATAATCTTCTGGGGGGAGAATAGCGACGCCTGTGCAAATCCGGGAGGCACAAAGGAGGGTACTGATAAGAGGGGAGCTCCTTCTTCCCCTCTTCTCTGGAGGGCAACGGAAATGACGTCCTGTGCAAGGAGCCTATAGGCTCCTTGCACATGACGTCATTTCCGATACCCTCCAGAGAAGAGGGGGAGAAGGAGCTCCCCTCTTATCAGGACTAGGGAGGCTGTAGTGAGGGTGGGCGCAACTCAAAACCTGGAGAGCGTTTGCAATTTAATGGCGGCGCCAGAGGGAGAGGATTCGAGAAAGGATATGCGCCAGCGTTGCCTGCACGAGAGCAGGCGCCCGCTCTGTTGCAACTCTGTTGCTCCATGCGCCTTTCCTCCTCTCGCCTCCCATTGCAAGCAACGTGCGCCTTGGCGCAGCCTCTCTCGCTTCCTTCTCGCTCCGAGAATTGCAAACGTCGAGCGGAGAAAGCAAAGTTGCCAGACAAGCAGCAACGTCCAAGATGGCGGAATTTACCATTTTTCGCGTTAAAAAAATACTTAACCTATCGCAACAAAACTGGTGGCTATGGAAAAGTAATCATTTATACCTTGTGTAAATTATTCAAGCACCTTAATGGGGTTTTAAGACCCGAGTTAGGAAAGAAAACGACCCTTTGCCCCATAGACTCCCAGCAAAATTTAGCAATTAAATGGCGTCCATGTCCCGTGATCGCCGATCTAGCAGTTGCACCCACCCTCACTTGAGCCTCCCCAATCAGGACCCTCCTTTGTGCCTTCCGGATTTGCACAGGCGTCGCTATTCTCCTCCCAGAAGATTAACCCGTCACTCAAAATTCTTACAAAAGCAGCTTCCCTCTCCTCCTTTTACTTGGTGTGCAAATGTGTGCGATGTGACGTCAATGCAAGGAGCCTATAGGCTCCTTGCACATGACGTCATTTCCGATACGCTCCAGAGAAGAGGGGGAGAAGGAGCTCCCCTCTTATCAGGACCCTCCTTTGTGCCTTCCGGATTTGCACAGGCGTCGCTATTCTCCTCCCAGAAGATTATAGAAGATTAACCCGTCACTCAAAAATTCTTACAAAAGCAGCTTCCCTCTCCTCCTTTTACTTGGTGTGCAAATGTGTGCGATGTGACGTCAATGCAAGGAGCCTATAGGCTCCTTGCACAGGACGTCATTTCCGTTGCCCTCCAATGAAGAGGGGAAGAAGGAGCTCCCCTCTTATCAGGACCCTCCTTTGTACCTCCCGGATTTGTACAGGCGTCGCTATTCTCCCCCCCGAAGATTATAGAAGATTAACCTGTCACTCAAAATTCTTACAAAAGCAGCTTCCCTCTCCTCCTCTTACTTGGTGTTCAAAAGTGTGCGATGTGACGTCAGTGCAAGGAGCCTATATGCAGGGCCCGTAAGGGAGAAAACAACGGAAGTGACGAGCTTAAGAGGGTCCTGTCAACACTTTTAAGCAACTCTAGGCCCGCGCGCCTGAACACCGACGACACGCAGAGCAGGCCGGCGCGGGGCACACGCCGTACGCGAGCGCTACGACGACGCCCAGCTTGGAGCGTGTTCTAACAACCCGCTGAAACCCGCTAAACGCCAGCACCCCAACCGCGCCATCCCGCTGGACGCAGCTCAAAAAGCCAGCGCGCGCTGACCGGGATACGCTGTCGCAAGCGTGAGAAAGGACGAGACGACACGTCAAAGTAAAAAACATCCAGTTCTTCACGCGTGTCGCCGTCCCGAACACATTCAAGGCGTTCGTTCTAAGATCCGTATCCAAGCGTTTGACAGCACAGCTCAGTTTAGCGCGCCCTAGCGTGTCCGAAGGGCTCGCCGATAGCAACGCGAACTTTCGAAACCATCTGATCAGCGTTTCTGCAGTGCTCCGGTATCGCGGAACATTCAAGGGATTCTCAAGATAGCGGCTAGCATTTACGCAAGGCTTGAACGAACAGCCTCCACAAGCGATAGCGATCGTTTCCCGAAGGCAGCCAGCATCCCTCAGAACTGCGACGCGACACGAAATCGCGGAGACCGCTCAAGCGTCGAAAAAAGTTAAATATCATCCGAATTACGGTGGCAACGTAAGCTACGGTGCTCAGAAGATCATCCAGCACATGTAGATGATACTCTTCGGGCATGCATTATGAATA